ATGGGTGTTTTCCTGTCCACTCTGAAATAGCTTATTCAGGCGGCACCATTTTTGAATCTCGAGAACCACAGCTCCTAGCTTAGATCGGATTGCACCCAGAAAAAGTCGTGAATTAGTCGATTCTAGTCGTAAAATTTTAGAATTACTTGCTCCTTTGTTTAGAAGCACGCATTGAAACGACCCTGGCTTAATTTTCATGGTAGAAGTAATTGTTTCACTTTTTTATTTATAGATTTGATTACATATACTAGAGAAATACAGGTACCTATATAATTAGTTGGTGACAGCTTAGCTTGGTGATTTTGACATATCGTTTTAGAGTTGTGATATGTCCACTTTATTAGATCACTACAGTACTAGTATGGTACGGTTATTAGTTATTTTAGTATTCATCCGCCTGAGATCACTTGCGCTCATTAGTAATATGCAAGACAATTTTAAAATATTGTAACATTGCTGCCACTGTTGTGTATAACTAGATGTGTCATCTCAATAATAATGAATATTCATTTTAATATAGAAAATGTAACTTATTAATTTGTTTGCTGTTTGTGTATTACAAGCCATAAAGTGTAATATAAATACAAACTATTACAATTAACTGCAATTCTAATACAGAGAAAAAATTAAATTATGTTTTATTAAGGAATCACCACACTTATTAACACGGAATCGGTTTTATGTCCATACGATAAAAGGGAAAAAGACGTTGCGTGTTTCGCTTCCGGTCTATTTGGCCCTTATTACGTGGATATAAAGCATTTTCTAGCTGGCTTGATGCGATTTCGTGTCGATACGTATGGTGAATCCCTCAATAGTATTTAACCGAAATAAAAACGTTGTTCGTGTTCGTAGAGGATATAAATAAATAATGATTTTTTTTCCACTGTTTTAATTTAACGTTTTATCGCAGTTTCTAGCTGTCAAACCACTAACTGGTTTAGTGGTAGTGATTCCACTATAGTGGTGAACAATCAATATAGGCAATATCCAGACCCCACAAAAGGTTTAATTAAACCTAAAAAGTGAAATGAGGTTACAATAGTAGGACAAAAAAATGTATTTTCGCTAGACTTGTCATCTACCTATGTTACACTACACTAAACCACATAGAACAGAACATTGCACTTAATTGAATTTTACAATAATTGTATATAATTGTCAACATTTCAATCAATGACCCAATTAAAATAATAATTTGCTTACTAAAGTTATTTAATCACACTAACACCACGTGATACACGGAACTGCTGTAGAAATTATAGTTACCATTGTGATTTTAAAGTAAATTTTGTTAGGCTGTTAAGTAGAAAACGGCAAACGGTCGGAATTGTTTGGTATTGTTATGCGAGTAAAGTATAATTTAAAAAAAACTTCGGCTCTATTTAAATTATTTAAAATTTTATATTAAATTATTTTTTGTAACCATAGCATAAGTCGCCGCGCAAACGTGTGTCTCGTGTTGGATACAAGCAACCGGCTAGAAGCGTATATTCTACTTTCATACAACAAGCCCTTTATCAAGTTTCACCTTGTAGACGCAAGTTTTGCATCATTTATTCATTTTTTTTAACTACCAGTTGTTGACAAAAAAAAAGAGTTAAATTGCGTTTTGAAAGGCCCGATAGGATAGGAAGATGTATGTCGAACTTCCTGAATAAAAACCGACATTATGTTTGATAAATTGGTGGCAAATTTTTTTTAGGTTAATGTCCTTGGGTGCGTGCTGTTTAGAGATTTTTTGCTGTTTTTCCAGATTATTGTTAATATTTTTTTTAATACAAATATATCCTCTCGTTTTTCCATAAACAGTATTTTGTAGTATAATTTATTAAACAGTTAAATTATACAGTGTGTTGATTTACATTATCGCTATATTTACAGATTATTCTATATCCGAAACTGAACCCAAATCACTAAAAAAATCGATTCTTATTTTCTATTCTTATTTTTTATTTAATTGCGGTAAACATTGATTCGCAATCACCTGATCCTGTTTAATCCAAAGGTCATTGACTTGCACGGCACGTGTTAAATTTATAGCGCAGACGGAGGAACCGAGAACGTATCGCTATCTTTTTCTTTCTCAAACGCAGCGCCTGCCCAAGTACGCTCGCTTACGCATAAGGAAAAGATGGCAGGCAGAACTCGTCGCAAAAGTTGTGAAGTCAAATGTGCTAAGTTGAAACGAAACTTCGTGCGAATCTCTGCATAGCTGCCAACTTTGGAGCTAGGTACTTCTAGCAAGACTTTTTCGTAGAAGTTAAAGTTAGTAAGTACCAAATCTAAGTTTAAAAAAACCTTTTTTCAGTCAACTTTTCTAATTTTTGTAAATAATTAGTAAATCATAACAATATTAGTACATAATCATAATTTAAAAAATAGGTAAATAAGTTATCGAGGAAGATTACGCATCGCACGGTGAAGCGGGTGGCGGGGAAACAGCGCTCGCGCGGTGCATACGATATAATTAGCCGGAACGTTGAACAGAATATTTTTTTAAATATTTTGAGATGATTTTGCATTATTTTTATTATTAATTTCTTAATAATGGCGATAATGCAAACCAACACACTGTATATTGTACATAATAAATAGAATACACACAAATTCAAATAAATTTAGTATCGGTTTTTTTCCCTCGTTACTAGTCGTTACGTCACACTGTCGCTTAAGCTTTTTCGAAAGGAGATCATTTAAATTATAGAATTCAAATAGGAAAGCATTATATTAAAAAAATGAACGCGTAATATGTTTGATGTAGATTCCATTTCGGTCATAAAAAATATATGTGAGAGTATAAAATATATTCGCTTCTAGTTGTGGGTTGCTTGTATCCAACACAAGACACACGATTGCGCGGCGCCTTAGCGCCCGTCTAACTGGGCGTGAAAGTTTTCGTGCGGCGCCGCGCAGCAACAGCCCAGCTATAGCGCTTTCACGTACATTAATAGCGAATCTGAATTCTATTTACTAGGCAACAACATTTAAATTCCTCAGAATAATACAACCGCGCGGCCGCCGCGTAGACCGAAGACAAGCCCGTCTCGCCCGAGAGGCGAGGTGCATTCCATTCACTTGCAGCGTGGCTATGGCGTAAAGTGTTTTTGCTCATTTAAGTTTAAAACGTAAAAGCCAAACAAATAGAGCGTTTTTTGCCAAAACAGTTCGGTCTCTGAACACGCGCACGCGGTCGCTGCGTGGCGGCATCGCGGTCTCAACGCGCCCTAATGAAGGAAGGAAATAGTAACGGCTGAAAAATTTAAAAATTATTGTAATGAACTTATGTCAATTGTGGAACTTGCAAACTAGATACGACACACAAAACAGGTCGCGCGTCTTCCGGAATTCCCACAGCTACCGTGTCGTATCTAGGTTCTACGTTAGACAATTGACATAAAATCCATGGTGCACAATTTGCTATGTACAATTTCATTATAAAACTTTCTTTTTTTTCCATTCCGCAACAATGTAAATTGAACCTTACTTTCTCATGTAATATGGCATTCACTGCGATGGCTTTGTACAATAGCCTGTCTCAAAAACAACTATGGTTAAAAAAACTTAGGCACAGTTATACCAGCCCAGTTTTGAAAGTGAATATTGTAACTAATGGAAAGTTCGGTGTCTTATTCGTAATAAGTTAATAAGAAATGGTCGGAAAGTTGTTCTACATATATAATATATGTACAGATATAGCTACAAGGTGCGACATAGTCGTTAAACCACTAAATATTTATTAATTACTTTTCGAATTCCGGATTTCCGGAAATGGTTTTACTACATCAAGACATAACTAATGACCTAGGAAGTCGAACTTAGATTTTAAAGTAATTTTAATGGTGCCATGTAAAAATGCAGTAGATAACTGATCTTTTCCCAAAGCAGAGAATAAAAAAGTTACGAGAATGGTCAATCGCCGCCCCTCCTTACTTTAGATACCTCACCGCGCCCCGCACATTGACGGAACGGCAACAAGGCAGTAAAACCATTTCCGGAAAACCGGAATTCGGGAAGTAATTAATATTTGGTGGTTTTAACAACTCTACGTCGCTCCTTGTAACTATATCTATGTATGTGTCCATACATGTAGAACACCTTTTTCCAATCATTGGTAATAACCGACAGGACCGAACTTTCTCCTGCGTCCGGCCATACCGACGACGCTGTCGACCTGTCGCTACTGCATTACTACACGAAGTCTGAGGAGATAGTGGAGTACGTGAAATTTAATTCGTTTTTTGTGAGAGTGCCAACCGAACATCTGTCGACCTTCACGAAGGACTTTTGGCCGAAGGGTGTCGGGCAGATATCGGCAATTCCGCGGCTGGTTACCTGACACCAGATTCCGATACACGTCGCCAAGTGCAATTCGTGCAGTTATTTAGTACAAATAGTGTTTTATTATACCGTATGTTAGTCCTTAGGTATATATTATACGGGCCACGTGGCCTGAATTTTACAAAATATAGTGCGATGGTTTTCAAAAATAATAGCGTAAACCAAATAGTTCATTTTTGTCTTATTACACAGATGCACTCAGAATGAACTAAACTTTATTGTGAAAGAGACACCGAGCTGTTTGTTTAAAATAATCACGTAAGATACAACTCGTCGGTTTTACATTTCAGATATTCTGCAGTTGTTTTTAAACTATCTTCCTGACGATTTAGGTGATTTTGGGATAGGCCACTATTCTAGAAAGCCATCGAGTTATGTAAAAAGTAAAAAGGAACTATTTTGCTTTGGGTCACTATTCTCGAATATATATTCTCAAATTTACCCATACACCAGACAACTACCTAACAGCCTTACTAATTACAGAGGTCACGCGATATGACTTTCACACAATGAACTTGCAATCCTACAGAAATTTATATATTATAAACAATTTAACAATAAGAAACATCCCACTATTAAAAACCATGAAAGCAAACGGCATGACTGCTATGTTAATCAACTAGTTATCCGCACCTTAAAAAATGATTGTCACCTTAATATTCCTTAGTCACATTACACAAGCACTTTGCCGCATAGTAGTTGGGCGCGTCGATCTAAGTAGCAACGCTCAGTGTTGGGCATGAGGTCCTTAATAAACGTTCACATAACCACCAATGACGTGTGCGGGCTTCGGGGTGAGTTAGCGTGTAGGAGACGTAGTCCGTTCACACTTTGATGCGCTGCAGTCACTCGGCGTCCGCAGGTGTGTGCCACGTCAGTCGTTCCTCGTAAAATGCGATTACCTGAAACAAAACGAACAATTTCAAATGGTAAAATATTTATCATTGCCATTGACTTACAATTATATGGACGTCGGGTCCGCGCTAAAAAGTGTCCGAACTTATAGGGCGTTAAAATCGTATACAGAGCGTCATTCACGCTTTAGTCTACGTTTGTTCGACTGACAGCGAAGCAAGCAAAATTAGACAGTACCGCGATGACATTACAATTTAAATTCAACGTTTTAGCTTTTTCATATTCCTTTACATGTCACTACATTTAAATAGGTTGACTTGGGACATTTTTTTCGTGGTTTTTGTATTAGACCCGTCGTCCATCATTTGTAAGTCAATGATCATTGCACATTGCGTCTTAACTGTTTGCACTGTGGGCGCTGGATGAAGAGGTCCCGGGTTTAATGTCCAGTAGGATTAGGAAATGAACTTTTCTAAATCATTTTGGTAATACTGATTGTAATGACAATAATGGTAACTATGATCACACAATATACTACTTAATTAGAGCTCTTTGTAAAAAAACGACCTCAAAAGTCTGTGGAATTACATCTAAAATCGAAAGCGTTTTGGGTACACGCGATACAAACGTCTGTTTATTTGAGAAATAGTTCGCCCCATCGCGCGCTTAATAATTTACCTCCTTTTGAAAAAATGTATGACTGTAAACCGAATCTAAGTAATCTTAGAGTTTTCGGATGTCGAGCTTTAGCCATGAAAATAAGGTATGTCTCCTTCAAAGGTCCTTATACGGTCTAAAGCAAGCCCCTCGTGCGTGGAATATTAAACTTAATTTTAACCACGTTTTATTGAAATCGGTTACCGGAAAGTGTGCGAAACCGGGTTCATTTCCTTGTTTGCCACTCTTGGAGGTAGAATATTGTCTTCAAATTTAAATGGGACTTTAGCCACTAGTTATTTATTTGTAGTCCCACATATAAATAAATCGACTCATCCGTAGAACAAAGATGTATGTGTAGTAACACTGTTTATTCCCAGAACATTGTACATTTTGTTCGTTGTTCTTCGCTGTGGGTATCAAGATCGACTGTTGTTCATTTTTATGTTTCCGAAACGAAATAAGATATAAAAATTCTAAAAACACCTATCGATTAGCCTTATTTTGAATAACGAGATTATGTATTTCGCAATACTGGGAAAAACAATTATTTCACAAAATATCAACTTTGAAATCAATGCAATTAAAATTTCACTGTGTCAAAAATTGTTTTTGTTTTCACAAATGTCATCACACGTTAATTTGTAACAGATGATTCCACATTTTGTTTTACCGAAATTTGAAAGTGATTGCTTTTTACAGCAATTTTGTCGCGTTATCCTAAATTGAGTAATTTTCTGTGTAAATTCCAGATAATGGTTTTCATAGTATAACGACGATTTAAATATTTTCGCTCTATAATCACATCAGACTCTGTTCTTCGGATGAGTCGAGATAACTAGTAGTTTACAGAATCAATGCTGAGGTACCCACTTTCCAACAAAAAAAAAAAAAGAATTATCAAAATTGGTTCACATGCAATCGCGTACAAAAAATACAGTAGAATTGAGAACCTCCTCCTTTTTCAAATCGGTTAAGAATATGACACTAACCTGTTTTTTTGTTTTACTCGAGTCATTTTTGCAAGTTTTTATTATACTATACGGCATGATTGACAAGCGCGCTACCGGTCAACCAAACAAAGACTGACTTGCGCTTGTTTTTGTTTTATTAACTCTAATATTTCGACTGAAGGACTTTAATCAAGAAAATAAATTAATGAAATAAATGAAAAAATGACTCAATATCAAAGCTACTCAGACTTGCGCTTTAAGGGTTCAACTCATTACTCCACAATAAAATATGGTTTATATATTTTTTGGGTTAATAAATGGATAGTGTATATTTGAACATTATCTATCACTCGTTATTTTTACATTAAAAAGAAGTTTTAAGTATAGGCTCACCTGTTGTGGACACTTAATGTTCGCAACCTTGGCAGGGACAAGCTCCGCCTCATCGGAATCAGTCCATTTGACTAAAAACATCAGTTCTCCTGTCGCGTCTGACGCTCCTGAAACGTTATAACGCCCATTTATATTTACATCTTTATGTAAAACCTAACAGCAGGTGTAACATGAAGTTTATTGCATATCACAATGTTTTACTACCGTGACATTCAATTATTTTCTGCTGGTAGCTGTAAAGGTACCTGGCTGTGTGAAAGAAAAACTTTCATAGATTTCTCACAGATGGCGCTACGGCAAAAAAGTCGTTAATAAACAAAGAGCTGCAACAAGTACATAGAAAAAAATTCGTCGGGTCTGCTGGTGCCGTAGTTCAGTTTTTATATCAAGTGACGGGACGACCAAGTCGTGCGCCTGGTGGTAAACGACACGCCTGTCCATAACAGTTGCAGTGCCACTCAGAGATTTAAATCGCAAAGATCTGAGGGAAACTGCCAATGCACCTGAGGCTCAATTTGAAAAGTCCCATTTTTGTAATTTCACAGTATAGTATTCGATCTTTGTATTAATAAATAAAAAGAAGTAGTTGATCAGCGCATTAAAAAGATTCTCTCAACATCTTTTATAAATCTAGCTGCATTGTACAAAATTGTAATAAAAAAATACTCCAACTTCAATTTTAACTTAGCATAAGACTGATTTTTATCAATTGCAGAGATGTTTTGAATACTCCGACCGAATGATTCATTTAAATATTCCTTTTATATGTATTTATTATGAGTAAAGTATTTTTATCATAGAACATAGTCGTAGAGTGAAAACCTGAGTAATGCATTTTGATACAATTTGTTTTTATTTTTTCTATTATATTAAAAAACAAGCAAAATAGGCGCTTTGTCCTCGAGTCGGATACCAGCCCGTTGCACCAAGTACCAAGTATATTAAAAAATAGTACTATAGCATCCCAAACGTATAAAATTAAAATGCTACAATTACAAACAAGATGAGCTAACAAAGTTTTACACCACAAGATTTTTTACAATTACAAGTTTGTTTTCATCCCATGATGACATTTCATTACACTTTTTGTTTACTACCTCCGTGGCTGAAATGCCACCATGCTGGTCTGCCACATAAACGTCCTGGGTTCCATTCCCGGACCGGGAGAAATATTTGTAAGGCCTACATTGATTTCACTCGTGAATTTGGGTGTAAATTGTGGTTATCAACGTGTGTGTCCATTGCAACCTAATGTAAGTTAAAAAAAAATCTGGACCTAAATGTCCACCTCTGTACATCTGTGATTGACAACCACTTTGTCAAAAACTGTACTCTAGCGAAGAAAAGTCATCACTATCACAAACTTGAAACACTTGCCTATAATTTTTTCCGCCTTCAATCCTTTGTCAAAACCAGTCTTGTTCTTGTCGTCCTTGCGTTCCCGTTTCGACTCCTTGGGCTCCTCAACGGAGGAGACGCTAGTGGCGCGGCCTTTCCGACTCGTACTGGTCTCCTCACTCGACTCGCGGATTCTCTTCTTGCCGCGGGGCTCTTCTGGTTTCTTTGTTTTCTACGAGAAAATGTTTAATATATACATACTACTACAGAACCAAATCGTATCTCGGGATGAGTTAAATGGTCATAAGGAGAGATCATCTTGCCTAGTGTCGCCATGGCAGGTTACCACCGTAATTGAGATCTAAATGTGCAAATGTGACTTGAACAATAGCAAGTTACAGTTAGTAAGTATATTGTCGCCAAAGGCACTGGCCCTCATCAACTTAAACGTTCCTCGTAGAGTGCCTAGGGTCCCCATTGCCAAATCATTTGTTTTATCTAGTGGCCGAACTAATCTCGGAAGGTACCCCCTTGAACAGACTCATGCTGTCATACAATGACTTGACTGTGACCAGAGACAGTGACATAAACATCTTTCATGTAGGGAACACTAAACAACTTATTCGCAAGTGCAAGCAATTGTTTCAAGCTTAAATCAAATTATTGCCGTAATTTTACATTTTTAAATGTTTTATTTTTATTATTTTAGTTTATTCTTTGTATCTCATTGGCTTACTCTAAATATTTAGTGCTGTGTACACCTGTAGCGACTTAGCACCTTGTATGGTGAACGTATGTGTATTTATTTCTAAGGTTGTTTTGTGTTACGTTCATGGTGTATCTTTAAATAAATAAAAGTTACAACATAAAGAGGTGAAATTTGTGATCTTAAAGTAACTAAAAAAGCAAAAACCTTGGCTCTAACAAATCTATTCAGAAGACAACACAATTTTTTGTACGATAGACAAATCACATAATATACATACATATCTATCATGAATTGTTTTCTCTTTAACTTTAACTATAACTATGTTGAGTGTGTGCGTTATTTATTATTTATTTATTTCTGAAATCTAGGTCAAACATTGAAGAATTATAACAACACCTCAATGAACACTACGTCAACTTTATTTTTTGGTCATTTCCTGTTACTTTTGTAAACAGAAATATTTATTTACTAATATTATGATCCCGGAATTTGATGAAAAAAATGGAAAAAAAAAACATTTTTTTTAAATATCTCTCTATTTCTTTAACTCGCAAAAATCTGAGGAGCACTGCCACTGCGCCAGTCGCACTGAAACATAAGTTGACAAGTCCCATGTGCCTGTAATTTCACCAGCACCTTTACCCTTCAAAACCGAAACACAGTAATGCTGACATTACTGCTTGGCGGCAGAAATAGATAAAGTGGCAGTACTTCCCTGGACGGACTCTTTCACAAATATAGATTTTAAGACTTTCGTGGTTATTCACTAAATGATTATCACTAGTATCAGGTTTGACTCTCGACAGAACGTCACTACATACCACAGTTGGTACGAGAAGCCATCGAGATCATGAAGTACAAAACATTTAACCGTGATGATGGTTTTAAACTGTCCAGTGCATGGAATCCGGTCCTTAATGCGTGCAGTAATAAAAACAAAAACACCTCGAGTTCAGTTTCGCGTGTGGATACAGTGAGTGTGGTTTGTGTGAAAAAAGTGAGTGACAATGGTAACGCCACAACAAATCGCGATGAAGGTAGTCGTCGACAGCGCAAGAGGGTAGACAGATATGTCTGCTCATAAAGCTGTCATCTGCCGCCGTCCAGTCAACCCGTGACCATGGAGCGTGCAACCGTTCCGAAATATCGGGAAAATAAAAAGAAGTCATACCGTGGTAAGAAACCTGATACTAGTGATAATCATCTTTCACAAATGTTCATTGGACTTACATAGTTTGCTATTATTTTTTTACGCTCTATCTTCTACATATGAAAACTTCGCTGATAAAACAAGGTAAGTTGGTTGCAGTTATGTTAAGGGTCTTTCTCATTAAGGTTCATCAAACGATGAGTATCCGTATGACTGACTGACGTTTTAACGCCCGACCTCGAGGTAATTCGTGCGGGTGGAGTAGGAAAGATGCATGAGATCAGTGTCATATTCATATTACGATACTCAATGTCACTGAATTTACACTAGCTAAATGACAGTGGCACTGGGACAAAAAAAATCCGCGCATTTCTTACTAATAAACATTGAATTATTTTTACTTTAATACATTTACTTAAACAAAAGCTATTCATTTAAAAGCAATGCTTATAAAAATAGTTTATGAAATACGTAAATTACTATACGTCGTTACATGGTTATATTGTGTAGAATTTTAAAAACTGTCACAGGGATCATCGTACATAGGCATGGTCAGTGAGCATAAATAATAAGTATAATATCATTGGGCATGGTTATCATTATAGTATAGTCGTGGTTACTTTAAGAAAGTCTACTTATGTAGTCAAATTTTCCAAAGTGGGGTCTTGTAAGCGTGGTAAAGCCGAAATTGAAGATGTACACTAAGCACTACTGGTGTGTTACCTTTTTGGTCAGACACGTAGATGTAATAAATATTGTATCATCAAAGTCGAACTAAATACGGTTACGGGATTGCATAAACGACCTAAAACCCAGAACTGGATATAAAAAAATAATTAAAAGCGGCAATAATAGAGAGCACGGAGGAATGAGAGAGCCACAAAACACATTGCGTCCTCCCAAGCAACCTCGAAGGCGTACATAAATGCCGTCACGCACTAGAAAGTGAAAAATAACCACAGCACAAATTTAAGATAAGGGATTCAAGAGAGAGCGTACTAGAAGGAGCCTCGACTAAATACGGCATGCATCTCGCAGAACCCGGTTATGCACCAAAACGATTAGTAAGTATCAACTAGCATTCTACCAACCTTCGCCTTCCTAGAGTGTAAATTCTACCACTTCTACATGCAAAACTATCGACAGACGAAAAATTTCATTTTCACTTCTCATGCTCTTAAAGTTCGTATTTATGGTGGGTGCATAAAATAAAGTAACCATTACATTAAATATGTCTAATTGTTGTAAGTTTACATTTAATTTCAATTAAGTAATCGTTTATTTGTAATATTGCTGTTTAATTTCCTCACAATCGAAATGAAAATCAGAATATATAACTCGTTCATAAAACCCATTTTACCCTCGACTTAAGTATTCACCCTCGCCTGGGGCTCGGTTGGGTATTCTTGTCTCGGGTAAAATGACGCGTTTTATGCACTTGTTGTACACACGCCAGCACATTAACGTATCTTGTTCCGTTGCACTGGAGGCAATTTTCGAACAAAACAGTGTAGTCAGGTGTGCCGTTGTCCGTACAATCTACTACTCTATAATTCGAAATAAAAATAAAGCTTGAAAACAACACAGCAACTTATTTAACCCAATATAGATATAGCTATCTCGGTTCTGACTTCCTTCCACATACTACATATCTATATATGTGACATATATAATGGTCAGTCTTCTGATATATGGCCTAGATTTCGGGGGACAATTTAAAGCGTGCTAATAAATCGTTCGTTGATGCCATTACGAGGAAGCTTACTTCATTGAAACAGTGTATAATTGAAATTAACAATCAACAGAAAATAAATGCATCATATAATTATTATACAATAAAGACCCTATGCACACGGCGTATAAAACGCGCCGAAGACGCGCGTAAACGCGATGCAGACGCAACGAGTAAACCTAGTAGAAGTAGTAGAGCATTAGCAGCAGCAGAGCTCCTTGTGAGCTCGTCCAGAGAAGTACTGCCATCTTACTTATTTCTGCCGCGAAGCAGTATTGTTAGCATTGCTACGTTCCGGTTAGAAGGGTAAAGGCTCTGGTGAAATTACAGGCATATAGGACTTGTCAACTTTATGTGTCAGTGTGACGGGCGCAGTGGCAGTGCCCCTCAGATCTTTGCGAATTAAAGCCTCTGAGTGGCACTGCAACTGTTATGGAGAGACGTGTAGCTTACCATTAGGCGGCGCACGACTTGTTCGTCCCGTCACTTGATATTATAAAAAAACCTTTGGACACGTTCGCAACTTCTTCTGCAGCCGCAGATATACTGTAGTTGCGTGTTAACGTGATAGTATTAACTTTAGGTTTGTTTATTAATTTTTGAAATGAAGCAACTAGGTACGTGAAATTGTAAGTGTAAAGTGGAGTATATAAGCTTCTTGCTTGCAACGCGATGTTTGTGCGCGTTTTAATCGATTCAAACGCGCGTAAACACGAGCTTTGAACGCGTTTCTCGCGTGCATCTGTATCGACTTTGAATCGCTACGAATGCAACAATCTCCTTTTTGTCGAAACGCGCGTCGTCGTCGCGTATAAAATAAGCCTTGAGCATAGGCTCTTATAACGTACTTTCTGATTCAATTTGAACTGTTGAATCAGACTTTGTAAATTTTAATACGTCAAAATTATAAGTTACTTATAATTGTGAAAAAGGGCATGGCATACCTTGACCATATATACGCTACCGAATGCAATTTATTTCCTATTTGTATTTAAATTTATCTTTAATGCCATGAAAAAAAAAATTGTTTACTACTATTTCTATGCTTCTTATATATTTCAACTGACGTACTTGAATCTAAGGTCAAGAAATAAATTAAAAATCCAAAGTCACAGAACAAATTTTTAAAAACGACTAAAACCAAGATGTACTATCAAATGCAATTTGTGTCATTCCTGTAAAATTCACATAAATACGATAGGAAAAAAAACATTTTGTTCTACTAATAGCCGTTATTATTACTGTATTATATTACCTTCCATGTTTATTATCTCTAACAGTTCGACTGAAGGACTTGTATCCAAGGGCATACAACTAATTAAAAAATATAATATAAATATTCGCACCCGAAACTTAAGAGGCTTATTTTGAACACCATGCATATATGTACTTATGACATTTTTCTTTCCACACACATATGTATTTACATAGCACTTTAGTGAATTTAGAGAAGCCAAGTTTTGTACATGACAATTCAACAACGTTCTCACTATCAAGACGAAAATTAAAAATTGTTTTAAAGTACAGATTAAGTTCCTCCAGTTATGGTATCGACTTCTTTGACACACTGTATTACATAATTTCAATGTGTGAAATCAATTTTGCAAGCGAATTGTATTCTATAATAATTTCAATGCTCAGTTTTATTACTCCATGTTATCATTTTTCAGATCAGATTATCGTTTTATATGTAAAAAAAAAACTGAACTGTATTTGTTAAATCGTACAATGTTTCTAATAGTGGTTCGTATTTGCTTAAATATATTGTTTTATACTTGTATAGAATAGTTTGAAGTTTTTGCTTGAGGTTGAATGTCCTGACGGTTTTCATACAAAAACTTTTGCATGATCTACCCAAACATGAACCTTGTTTACCATTAAGGGGATCACGACACAGACAGACACTTCTTCACTCTTATATATGGACCGAAAGCTTTTATCTGTCCGGCTTAAGCCATTAATAAGTGTGGTGACTCCCTAATATGGTAATATCAACATGAGTGTTTCAGCAAGTACATAAATTTGAAATTAACCACGCAAACATATTTGTATGAAATTAGGAACCAAAACATTCCACTTTATAAGTTACAAACTGTCCCAAATCTTTTCTCAGGTCATTTATTTCACTAAATCTCACCTCCTTCTCCTTTCTAGCATCTTCAAATGTTTTAATCAATTCCTCGCAGTCCAAGTTCTCCTCTGGCTCCCATGTACTCTCGTCTTCTTTGTAGCCCTTCCATTTCAGCAGGTATTGCACCTTGAAAACAAATAAATGTTTATTTAATATTTTGAATTATTTTTTTCTGTCTTTGGTTAGATTAGTCGTAATCATTGATGGGTTATCATCGTAGTGGCGGTCCTAACATAATAGCTAGAGATGTTCACCTTCGTAGATTCAGATTTAAAATGAACAAGAATTTTAAATGTGCTCGGTTTCGATTATCAAAAAGGTTTCTTGCCATTTTCTTCTGGTGGCTGAGGAGTCCAGATTTTATATTTTTTCTACTGTAGCAGTCTGTAGTCCTGTTACTTCTGGGTCATATTCCACATATTCAGAAATCTCTGTAATACTATTATTTCAGTTGACAGCTGAACTCCGGAGCTCAATTCAGTAGATCCTAATGGGTTTGATGATGTACTATATAAGTAGTTAACACAGTACAGGTTTATGTATTTTACAGGGTTATATATTATGTTAGTACTTTTGTATTGTGTATTAACGACATTTCTTTTGATCTTTATGTGGCTGTTTATTAAGAAGCATTAGTTTAACGAGATTCGTGATCACTGTGGGCATTCTCAGCTATTTCTCAAATATTTGGCTACACCGCTTTTGGTTGCGATAGGTTTCTTTTCAATTTCTTTAGCCATTGCTATAGTATATTCAACTATGCTTGAATCTTCTGTGATGCTGGAGATACGCTTGATCTACGTACATAGCAGGTTCCATGCTGTCACTTTGCAGTAAGTCTACTGTGAAACAGAACTCGACCAAGCACCGAACTTAGAACAGATGCGAGCACGTAGAATACAGTTAGTTCTTCTTCGTATCATGTAGTTTGGGGAGTAGATCATCATCCCATGATCAGTTGAAAGCCTTATGTATGTCCAGAAACGCAGCTGATCAGTACTCCCTTTTTTTAATGAGGCTTTAGCCACCTTGAGTGACTATGTCAGCCTCAGGGGAGGATTACTGGGTCCCTACTCAAGGGACACGTTCAAAAACTTATAAAGGGTCCGCCATCTAACGTTTTTTTTTTCAACTAGTGCTTATTTCGTGAATAGTAACACTTAGCTCATGTTTGATTTGACAGATAATTAGTTTTATCCTTCCGCTGAACGAATATGGTTGTGTATACGCTTGAACAACGCTGGGAAATATTGCGACATTACTTTGAAAATCATGGTAATATTGCAGAATGTGTGAGAAAATTGCGTACGGATTTTGGAAGAAGAGAAGCACCGTCAGCTCCGTATGTTCGTTATCTTGTGAAAAAAGTGAAAGAAACTGGCATCCTCATCGATAAACCAATGCGTGAAAAGCCCAAAACAGTGCGTACACCCGAGAATATTGCTGCTGTGGCAGAAAGTGTGCGTGAAGCGCCATCAACATCAATTCACCGTCGTTCTCAACAATTGAACATTTCGGAGACATCATTGAGACGAATTTTGCATAAAGACCTTGGTATGACGCCATACAAAGTCCAATTGGTTCAGGAGTTGAAGCCAACTGACCATCCAATGCGTTTTCGCTTCGCTACGTGGGCCTGCGATCGACTTACAGAAGATGCCGATTTTGCAAAAAAAATCATCTTTTCAGATGAAGCTCATTTTGATCTTGGCGGGTATGTAAACAAGCAAAATTGTCGCATTTGGGGCACAGAAAACCCGCACGCATACATTGAAAAGCCGACGCACCCAAAACGAGTCACTGTTTGGTGCGGATTTTGGTCCAGAGGCATAATTGGGCCATTTTTCTTCGAAAATGAGCAAGGAGTGGCCGTAACAGTCAATGGCGATCGTTATCGGGCCATGTTGAACGAATTTTTGTTCACAAAAATTGAAGAGGAGGATATTGGCAACATTTGGTTTCAACAGGACGGCGCTACGTGCCACACAGCCGAAGCTACACTCAATGTTTTGCGCCCTGTTTTTGAAGATCGCATTATCAGCCGCAGAGCTGATGTCGTTTGGCCACCTCGGAGCTGCGATTTGACACCGTTGGACTATTATTTGTGGGGTGCCGTCAAAGATAAGTGTTACGCCGACAAGCCAGAGACAATTGACGCTTTAAAGGACAATATTCGTGAAGCCATTGGTGAAATACAGCTGCACACAATCGATAATGTGCTTAAAAATTGGACCGATCGTGTAGGCTACTGCATGGCCAGCCGAGGCAGCCATTTGAATGAAATTATTTTTCATTATTAACCGGAAGGATTGTACTTTCAAATAAAAAAAGAAATTTGAGAAAATATTCAGTAGTTTTTTTTTTAATTTCATTTAAAAAAAAAAAAGTAATTTGGCGGACCCGTTACAAGTTTAGAGCGCCAATACATACAGGCCTACTCCCTTTTCTTAAAGGACTGTTTAATTTTATGCAGCACTTGATAACCCTCCAGTTCTTGAAATCTTCAGAAAAACTTTCTCAAATTTTTTGGAAGAATATTGGCAACACGCCTATAAGGCTGTAGGAAATTAATCCAGCGGGTCCCTATCCAGATTTGGCTGTAATAGCAACAAGCGTGATTTTCCACAATTTTGGAAAACTTGTATCCAGAAGCATTAATGAGCATGGTTAGTAAGTTTTAGTTTTTTGAGAAGCTGTTAATACTTTGTTGGTTATTAGAGATGTTGGATTTCTATTGGTGAAAGTTTCACACGGACTGCAGCTGGCCCCATTTTTTTTTTTGCACATACTCTTCAAATTCCTGTTATTGACCTGAATACTGGATAAATCACTCAGTCTTCTCTATCAGTCTCATTGCCTATGGGACCTGAGAGCCTTCTTAAATTTATTAGTGGAGGAGAAGATTACAAAGCCACTTCCAGTATTTTGTTACCTGTTAGAATGCTGTTTGTTCTTGTCTTATGTTTTCAATCCGATTTTCAGATTAACTTGTAAATATAGGTGTCTTCAAAGACAAAATAATTTGTGTTATGGTTTTATACGATGAGTGGTTTTTCTATATTATAATACAATGTGTAGATCATTCTACAATTGACATAGAGACATGGTGAAGTGTGACAACTCCTTTATTATTGATGACCTTGGTGGCTCAGCAGTTAACACTGTAGAGCCAGATAAGGAGGTACTGTGTTTGATTCTCAGGAGGACCAATTTGGATCATGATCACATCAGCCGGAAGACGTCCACTGCTGAACATAGGCCTCCCCCAAAGATTTCCAGACCAGCTAATCGGACGCGACGTGCATCCATCGGTTAACCGCCGCCCTTACCAGGTCATCCGTCCATCTAGTAGGGAGCCGTCCCACTGAACGCCTTCCCTGCCCCAACGGCCGTCAGTTCTACAGGTTATGTGCCCTGCCCACTGCCACTTCAACTTGCTAATCCTTCGAGTTATGTCGGTGACTTTCGTTCTTCTACGAATCTCCTCATTTCTGATTCGATCACGTAGAGAAAAGCATTGCTCGCTCCAAAGCTCGTTGAGTGACTTTGAGCTTTTTGTGAGGCCCATAGTGATCACGTCTCAGAGCCGTAGGTCATCGCTGGCAACACGCACTGCTCAAAGAGTTTTGTCTTCAAGAACTGCGGTTTGTGTACAAGAAGACGTCCCAGAGCTTCCCGAAAGCTGCCCAACCGAGTCGGTTTCGACAATTGACATCTTTCCGAAGTTGACCCTGCTTAACTGGACGGTTTGTCCGAGGTGGACATACTTGTCAACAACTTCGAGAGTAGAGGTTCCCACTGTTATAGGAGTGGGTCAATTTGGATAACTTTTCTAAATTGGTTTTGGTGTGGGTGCTCTGGTATAAGGAATTTCCCAGTTCCAGATCAAGTAATTGATGTGTATCTATATAGTTGTAATTTTTAAGTTATGTATGTATGTCACAATATTTGAACACCATGATATTAAATTATTTTTGTGAAATTACTCCACTAGTTTGTTATAATTGTTAATACAAAGATCAAACACTTAGAAAAAATTTCTTCGGTCCGGCTGGATTCGAAACAACGTCTTCCAGCAAACAGTGTCAGATACTATATACTACCAACTAAGCCACGTAAAAAACAATCAAACATTACTAATTTTTCTGTGCACTTGTTGCAAATCTTTGTTTCTAGATTTTGGGCGACCTTTTTGCCTCTGTGAAAAATCTCTCTGTGAAAAACTGTCTGTTGCCATCTGTGAAAAATCTATTTCTTCACTCAACCAGATACCTTTACAGGTACCAGCAGCTGCTAGAGATGTCTATATATTTGGTCAAATATCTAATTACATCCAGTCAGTATGTTGGCTTTCTACGGATGATTATCTAAAATTGTTAATACACTTCCTACAACTAATGTAAAAATGTAATAATCAAGTTTGATCATAAACTGGTGTGCTTATTGTTCCATACTCCATCTCTAAGAATCAGTATCATATAATGTTTGAACATAGTCTAGTTCAAAGGTATGTGGCAGACGGCAGAATTGTCCTTATAATAATGGGGCTGCTTATTCATTCCTACATATGCATACTTTGTTATACAAATGCTGAATCCCAAGTGTTTTCCATTCTTTGTTTCTACATTGCATGCATTCTACTTTTAACTACTCTCTCAACCAGGTTACAAACAGAAATAGTTTTGTTATAATCAGTGATCGGAATTGAGGAAGTTAATTAAGCCAATCTAATAAATGACATGGACATTCGCTTCTACAAGTCTCAGAACTTCTAGGAACTGATTATATTTATTGATTGTTTGAGTACATTGGCAAAAAGTAAACAGGAGACATCCTATATTATAGAATGTTTAAAAAAAACAGTAAAGAAAGCCATTTTATATGCATTGATGATGAAATGGGTATGTCCATACTAAGAAAATGTTAATACTTTAGATAAATAAACTCCCTCAATTTTGATCACTTATTATAATAGGCCCAATTCAATATTCATGACAGTTTTAATTTTAAGTAAAAGTTACAGTACATTAAGCAGATAGAAAATGAAATGATAAAGATGAAAATAAAATAATATCGTCTGAATGTAAAATGGAATATTTATCCATAGAGATTTACAGCACAGAAATGATAAATCAAATATAGTGTTTATTAACTCACTTCAGTACGAGTACTTACAACTTGCATTGTCGTTCTGTTTCTGTTGTTTAGAGCTTTACTTATTTTTTAAATAACTGTTCAGATTTTGCCTCATTGCTGTTCATTATCAACTTTTTGTCTTGTTTTGGTTTGAGGTTCGTATTCTAGAACTCTACTCAATGCTCAAGTCAGGATTGCAATTGAAACACAAGCACTGGAAATACGACCCTAATGGCAGGGAGTTAAGTATGATTTCGAGTGCTTTAAACCATACTCAAATGACTTGCCTGACTTGAGCATTGAGTAGAGTTCTAGAATACGACCCTCAGTAAATCATTTTTAGTTTTATTTTTGTGGTTTTAAATTACTCTAAATTAACTCTCTGTTCTTCGTTATGAATTATGTCAGTAAGATATTTATTACATTTTTTTTTATTTAATTTTACACCATCTCATCTCTAAAAACTTCAAATTTCACATATTCATGCTATGTGAAAAAATTAGAAACTGCATGACTTCAAAGTTTTGAAAAACAGTTTTCATGTTTTGGTCACATGTTGCATCAGGTTAAAGCAAATAATAATTATTAGTAAAGTGCAGCAGTTTGCACATGTGACAACACTAATAACAGCAGAAAGTGAATAGAACTAATACAGTTGAAATAACGACTGTGAAAATGAATAAATCGGCTTCAAATGTTAACATAAAATTAACAAAGCTGTCTCCAAAATGTATATTCAAGACAACTGTAAAAATCTTACGTAGATATGTAAATATGACCCTAAATAATGTGGAAAATATGGCGTGGCTTGCCGCCTAGACCGAGTGTCATAGACTAAACTGATATAGCACGTATGGGTTACCGGCAATACAATGATCGTAACTTAATCTTTGAGAAGTTTTAGTTATTTCCACGTCATGAAAAGACTTCAACAGAGCAAGTAAAAAATGTACAAAATGCATGCAGCGTCACTAAATACAGAAACGCAAAAATCTGTCCACCAACCTTCCCCTTCACAGTCCTTTTGTCTAAAACTTTTTCCACAACATATTCCTCTTCACTGGAAGCACTGGTATCTCCTTTCTTATCCTTCTTCCCCATGTTTTTGGCTTTAGAACACCAAAAAACACAAAAACGCACTCAAGCTGAATTAGCAGGAGACGCGTCCAGAAAGCCGGAATCCAAAATGGCGCGCTCAAATAAAACATGGCGTGTCATATTGTTGCCATTTGTAAATACTTCGACAATGTCATGGCATTACGTCACATGATAAGATTATCTTACTCATAAAAAGTTATATTTATTTTTATGAAATACAAAATCTTTTGAAGTACAATCTACAGAAATATAAAATATCCATATTTCTTTAAATGTATTTCAATATGAACTAGTGACCATCATTTATGGACATCAAATGAGTCTACAATATTTTCAATGGCTATATTAAACATGCTAACCAACTTAACGAAAAAGAATAGAAAAAAAAAATTTTTTTTCGACAACGGAAAATGCAAACATTATAGTACAAAATTATTTTCTCAAACTATAAAACATTGTTTTTCTTAATTTAAATCAAGTTTACTTCGACACGGCTATATTTGACGCCTGAGTTAAAACAATATGAAACCTAACTTTATCCATAATAACCTCCAAAGTTGATATACGCTGTCCTACTTTCTCTTGTGTCGAATGCGGTAATAAATAAGCAACTCTTCTCGTTCTCGCCAGCTCGTAATCAGAGAAAAGTCAGAATCTGTCAAAACATCGCAAGTTGGTGTACTTGCGACTGTTTTCAGTCAGTTGATTGAGTCAAGAAGAGTAAGTGTGGTGCGAATGATATTCCATTCATGGATTTACAAAAATTATTCAAATTGTTCGACACAAAATAAAGTGTTATAATCGTGTTGTGTTAGTGAACAGTTTTGAGGTTAATACGTGTTTAAATACGTATGATAAACAGACTAGTTTAATTATCAAGTTTTTGTGTCGATTCGAGTGGTATCAAATTGACTTTTGACGTCACTTGGAGCGACCAATCAGTCGGCACTTAAGAAAAATAACACTTGTTGAATGTTGAGTGTTTTGGTCCAATTTTCGCCCTTCGAATCCGGATCGGTAGTGAGTTCTTACGGAACTGGGACAATTTAATGGATTTAAATGGAAGCAGCTGACTATACTTCGGAAATATGTTATTAAAATGTACCCCGGACGGTCGGCGAATCAAAGTGAACGGAGTGCCGGTGAGCCAGGGAAATGTTGCAAGAGGTGAGTGATAGCTATTAAATTGCGTCTACTTTATCATTTAACTGTGACCAAAGACGACTCGATAAGTACGAGCCTAAAACAAACTAATAAATAGGGCGATCGATAAAGAAGTTGTTTTGTAGACCCGACTACGTCTCTGCGACGTTTGTTATTATTTTTAAACGTCTTTAGTAGTATGCTTAATACGCAGGGACGAAGTTCGATTTACAAACCAAATTTTTTTGCAAAGGTACCTTGTACTTTGCGTGGTTTTAGTATGCTGTTATTAAAAATTTGTATTTGTTGAACTTAATATGTTGGTACATACTTAGCTTGCGTTGCTGCATTTTGTCACAACAATTTATGGTTCAATTATGAAATTATTTATTATGTAGCTAATAGCTATTACTTAATTTTTGCGAATAATTTACTTTGCTTTATTTTAGTGATTCACAATTATTTTTATTACTGCTATTTCTATCGGCTGTAGAAGGTAGCTAGCTCCCAAATATTTTTTATTTTTTGTGAAGAGTTAATATATGTACATATAGAAGTATATAAATTTTGTTGTATTTTCATTTTATAGGAGATAACAATATTTTATTGAAACAAACGTCACTTTAGAATGCATATGAAAAAAGAAGTTACTCTTCAAGAAAAGAAAAATAGAGAAGAAGGTCAAACGATTACGACAAGTAACTTAAAAATATAGCAAATTAATCCATAACGCTCCTTTCATTCGTCTTCCTGAACTTACTACATCTTCGATGTAACCAAACGTTACATTACGAAATTAAGCAGGTACAGAGAAAAGACACCCATTCATTAGAGTAAATGTTCGCCCTGTAGCCAACACGTTGGAAATGTATGCTCGTATTGGGCGACATGTCTAACGACATACTAACTTGTTAAAAAGTCGATTAATACGGCAAACGTGTGCGCTAACATCTTTTTTCCGAGGAACAAAAGTTTTATTTCTTTTGTTTTAAAATGCTACCAAACCATTTGTATTGTTTGCTAACAATATAATATAGTAATAACTTCGTTGATAGTCGATATTTAAACAGTGCCGATAATGTCTCGAATTTGTGAAATCACTTTATTTGTAAACTGACAAAATATATTTAGAAAAATACGGACGAAATTGTTTTTCATATCAACAACAATATTGTCATGCTTAGCGCCAGTCAAATATAGGTATATTGTTACTTTCCTAACAAACAGTTTTAGTTTATAAATTGAGGGTGTGAAAAGTTATTTCGTGCTCCTTATTGCTTTCGAACAAGTATTGCCCAGAATGATCGATTGACCGTACACGTCACGAAACCGCAATGCACGAATTTAAAATCGAATTGAAGCTGAATCCACAATCTTTATTATGAGACACCTACGAAGACCCGCTCCGGACCAATAAACTAACAAACAGTTTAATTATAAACGACGCGCGATAGACGCAAATCATTAGAATAAATTATTTATTTAATTTATTTTCAGTCAATATCATTCCTATTTAGATCAAAGGATCGGTTCGGAGTCATTGATCCACGTCCAGGTTAAAATATCGAAGAGAAATTGCAACAAACAAGTGGATTTAATGCCCACTCAATCGCCATTACTGCCGTCTTCCATGGATCTAAATGCAATAATAATATATTTTTTAAAACAAAAAATATAATGTACAATGGTATGTGTTCTTCTTCTTCAAAGATTTGTACATTAGACAAAACTATGATCGAATTAAATGATAAAGGATGATCAATCTTAAAACATTGTAATAAATCCAAATATAACTGATTAATATTGCCAGGCTAAACAACAATGCATTGTCTACAAAACTGTATCAGACAGGTAAAAGAATTGGAGCGAACCGCTGCTGTCATATGATCGTCGCGTGCGCATATCGCCTCTGTAAACAGAGCGGAGTGCGCGGCCGCCGCTTCTGACCCCTGATAGTGTTGGCGCAATGATAACAACATGATAACTAGCGGGTCGCGCAGTCGCTCCACTCTTGACAATTGACTGATTTAAAACGACATCCCTAATGAACATACTGATAGACCAGTTGTGACTGCTCATTTTAGAAGAATGATTACTCAAATTAAGTGAGCAAATTAGTTTGGTTGCCACAAATAAGTTTTTAGTCTAGCATTGTGGCATACACTTGCTAATATATCATTTCAAACATACGCTTACTAATACATGCCTTTTTTTCTTGTGGTTCATTTGTGTCCGAAAATTTGATTTCCAGATTCAATTACTAAATTCCTTTCTTTTTCCCACTTTTAATATTATGATCGTAATATCACAAATCTTAGGAAACTTAGTTTAAATTAAAAGTTTTTTTTTCAATCTCACGAGTGCAGTAAACGTCATAGAGATCGATTTTAATCGAGAACACGTTAAAGGGAAGCCAAAGATAAGACAACCAATTTAGGCCCATCGTGAATGGAATTGAGCATGTCATTGACCGAGTGGGCAATCAGATGATTATGCATAGCACTATAATAAATGAAGAAAAAACGAATTGATTAATAAGTAAAAAGGACATTTAATTATAAACATACTGATCTTTTTTAGGTCTTTCCGAACCTTCCTTATTAAGGTAAATGTATCTTTTTGTTCGTGCCTCGATTCAGTTTTTTTTTTTTGCAAACGGAGTTAAATTCATTAATTATTATGAGCAATTTAAAACTGTTGGCCTTTCAAAAACACTGAAATTTGTTAATTAGTACAATAGTTAAATAGATGGAGACTGTATTAACAATCCAGCTTAAGCGTCGATTTTAAGATTACACTTACTATAGATAATATACTTCGGTGCGTGTCTATGAGGTACATCAGTTCATTTCGCTCGTCCCATTTTATCATCGGACACCCAAACCTACGGCGGGACATCACCCCTACATGATTGATTCCTTTCAAGCGTACCAAGCGCTTTTCGTCATCTTTTATTCTTTGCTCCAGGCTAGGTGAGCAATTCTAGTTATTTAAAAAAAACATCTTATTTAAGACAGCTGTCTTTATTATTAAATATCACTTGAGTGCAGATAAACTATTACTTAATTAAGGGTTACACATAATTTGCGAGTTATCAAAATATCCACTTTTTTATGACCTTTATGCAGCACTTGAGATACGGCTCAAGATCTTTATTAAATCCTAGTCAATCAAATTCAGAGTCTAGATTTCTTCAGATGTTGTCATCCAAGATGTCCACGATTATCTCTATTAATCCCAGGAAACTTCAAATGCGTCTCGAGATCATAGCGAGATCTCAACCAGTACGCATTGTGAACCGGACTTGCAGCAGTTTTAATGCCGGCCTAAGTACCTACTGTTAACGGTAAATATACCGATTGGCACTATATGTAACAGCTTGTACAGACAGGGCAAGTTTAAGACATAATATCAGAAACCGATAAGGATGTTTTTGTTGTTAGGCGTCAAGGCTATATGCTCGTATTACACTTAGCATGTAGTGAACTCATGAGTTGGCACATATTATTTTATATTATCGAGCACCTGGTTGGTGCTTTTGGTTCACAAAGTGTTATTAACATAGATACACTAATAAGCCGCGTTAGAGAAACATCAGATAACCGGCTCGTTCAGTTCAACTCAAGTTCTTTGTACATATTGATAGTCCATTACATCTTTTAAATAAATAATTGGAATGGCTCCAGACGAATGGTCTTTCGGTTTACGACGAAAACTTCAATTGTGGAGCTATAAAGTTGATTTAATTTACGACATTGCGGCACTGATTCGTCTTTTAATATATTCATTATGTTTTAATTTGTAGGAGTGAATGTTCCGTTTCTAAGTTCTCTGATAGAAACAAAACTATTCATGAACACCACGTTAAAACGTTTCATTTTATCAAAGATCTTTTTGCCACTATAAATATTTAGATAGTTGGTAGATAATTTCGTAAATATTCACTGCGTTTTAAGTACATATTTCTGGGAGTTATTCAGAACACGGATTGTTTTGTCAGGCTGTGGGCGGATGACCTAACTCCTCCAGGTGTATGGTCTGGTTACACAGATCTTTACAGCTGTTTGTGTTCGCCACTAATATGAAATCATAATATAGTAATGTGTTTCTATTTTTGACTTTGTCTGTATTCGCATTCAGCCAACATGAAATTATGTCTAAAAATTAACTTTTAATGTTTACAAGCTTCTTTGTATCAAAATTTAAACGTATTTTTAAGTACCAATCTTGCATTGTCATTATACCAGGCCAGTATGACAGTACATTTATTTTTTTTACTTTTTTCCACATGCAGCTTGAATTTAGCGCACTTTCTATACAATCAGCAGAGAAAACTATCTCCGATTCAACGTTGATACTTGCAATTGCAACCGAGTGTAGGCATAACATGATACCTACGTACAATTCGTGCGTCATTTGTTTATAAATCGTTACACGGTTGATATAAAACAGGCTATGTAAATTACGGTACCATATTATGCATGCTATAAGACATCTTATAGTAATAATAGCTGTCGTTACACAAAAGAAATCTGTTTCGCACAGGTCGGTCCTGCCATTGACGCAATTGGGTAAATTCTAGAAATTATATCCACGTAGGACCCTTCATAAATGGAGAGAAGGAAACGTTGCGTCTTTCTTCAGTTTTGTTTTTTTTTTTTTGTAATATGTAATAGTACTAAAATTCTATTCTATATAGTCAGAATGTTATTAAAGTGAGACGAGCCAAATTCCTTCCGAACCAGCAGTTTTTCTTATTTTTGTTTTTCATAATATTTTTTTTTTCCTATTTCACAGTTTTGCACGTTTGCACACGCATTGAATATTTTTCCCATAACTAACATGGTGATCTTTCATATCATTGACGTGGTGATCTTTGGCCTCAGTTATCTCAGGTATAGATCGAAATTCATATGGACTTCACCATGCATGGCCTGTAGTATTGGATTTTTTATTCTTGTTTCATATTTTATGCCTATCAATTGAGAAACGGCCGTCTAGTCCCCGTTCGTAGATTGTGCAAC